TCCAAATTTCCGTCTGGTATTATTTTCCTTCTGCCTAAAGGTCTTCCTTTAAAATTTTTTATAGTGAAGGTCTGCTGTAATGATTCTTTTAGCATTTGTGTGTCTGAAAATGTCTTTGTTTCACCTTCATCTTTGAAAGTTCTTTCCACCGAATACTAGGTTGGCAGTTTCAGCTTTCGGTACTTTAAAGATGTTGCTCCACTGCAATATGTGTGATCAGATATCTGCTGTCATTTTATCTTCATTTACATATGATACTTCATTCCTTTGCACGTGATTGGTATTTTCCCCTCTCTGGGTGATTTTAAGATTTTTCTCTTAACTACTGTTTTTAAGCAATTTGGTTATAATATGCTTTCATGTAGTTTTCTTCATGTTTCTTGTTCTTAGGTTCATTGAGCTTCTTGATTCATGGGAGTATAAATTTCGTCAAATTTGGGAAAATGTTAATCTTTATTTCTTCAAATATTTTTTCAGTTACCACTACCTGCCCCCAATCAGAGACTCCAGTTACAGGTATAGTAGGCCACTTGAAGTTGTCTCAGAGTTCACTGAGTCTCTGGGTTTTGGGATTTTTTTGGGGTGGGGTGGGGTTCAGTTATTTTTTTCTCTATGTTTTTCATTTTAGATAGTTCTATTGTTATATCCTTAGGTTCGCTAATTTTTTCATTTGCAATACCTAATCTGTTAATTTTATCCAGCATATTTTTCATCTCAGACATTGCGGTTTAATTATCTAACAGTTATATTTGGATCCTTTTTAATATCTTCCATATCGTCAGCACATCTTTCATATCTGTTCAGTCTTTCCTCTTCTTGAACATATGGAATACGGTTATTATAATAACTATCTTGACATCCTTACCTGGCATTTCCATCATCTGCATCATTTTGGGGTTGCTTTCAATTGATTGGCTTTCCTTTTCATTAGGGGTCATATTTTTCTTCCTCTTTGCAGGACTGGTAATTTTTTATTGAATGCCAGACATATGAATTTTACCTTGTTTATATTCTTATAACTATTCTTGAGCTTTGTTCTGGGACATGGTTAGATTTCCTGAAAACAGTTTGCCCCTTTCAGGACTTGCTTTTTGTTTGGTGGGACCAAAGCAGTATTTAATGTAGGGCTAATTTTACCTTACTATCAAGGTAAAGCCATTCTAGTATGCTACCTGATACTATGTGAATTATGATGTTTTTCTCTCTGGTGAGATCAGGACCTATTCTCAGCCCTTTGTTTGTCTTTGGGAATTACTCCATGTCATCTCTTCAGGTGATTCATTCCCCTGCCTCTATAAACTGATCAGTACTGAGCTGCAGACTTGAAGTCCTCCGCAGATCTCCAGAGCTTTTTCTCTGGCCGGCTCTCCTCTGATAGTCCACCCTTTGTATTCCAGCTGCATCTTCTTAACTCAGGAAGCCTACCACCCTCTGTCTGGGTTCCCTGTCTCCATGCTGCAGCCTGGACATACCCTCCAGGCAGTAGGGTGGGCAGTTGCCACGGTAGGGATTCCTGAATTGTATCCCAACTCTTAGGGGTCATTGTCCTTCATTGCCTTTGTCTAATGTCCTGAGTGCCTTTGTTTCACATATTTTGTCCAGTTTTTCTGTTGATTCAAGCAGGAAGGTAAATCTGATCAAAGTGGAGTCTATCGCTAATTAACTTGTATGTGTGTGAGAGAGAATTAACTTTTTATTAAAGTATCATATGTAAGAATATACCAGAAAGTATACAACCTGATGAATTTTTACAAACTGAACACATCCAAAAAACTGGGGTCACCAGCAGCCCAGAGATTCTCCTTATGTTCCCTTACACACTCTTCAACCCCACAAGGGAAACACTACTATCCTGACTTCTAACAACACAGTGAATTGCCAAGCTTTTATTTTTGCTGTCCTCCTATTACTTTTCTCTCAATGAGATTATTTTTCAGCGAGATTGTTTTTCATTGAAGAATTTGGTCTTCAGCTTAAACAACTAGCTGATAATTTAGTCTTGTATTTATCTTTAATAGATAAATGATCCAGCACTGAGACACACAGGCCTGTACTGCAACCAGCTCTCATCTACTGACCTTCTCAAAACAGAAGCAGATGGAACCCAGGTCAGTAAGAAAATTCTAAGCCCAGAGCTGTCAGAGGTACTCTAGATATACAGAGGATGTTCCATAGCATCGTTAAGAGCCTGACCTTGGGAGTCAGACCTGGGTGTGAGTCCTGGCTCTTACTCTTCCTAGCTGTTTCATCCTGGGCATGTTACAGAACTTTCCTGAGCTGCTGTATAACCACTAAACTAAGATACCTGCTTATAGGATTGTCAAGAGGGTTAAATGAGATAAGCTTTCAGAAGGTTAATTCAATGCTTAGATAGGATAAAAGCATCACAAATGGTGGCCACTAATTGTTGTTTTATAAATAAACACAGTGCTAAAATTCATTGCTCATCACAATACCTGAAAAGATCTCAGTAAGTTTAGATAAAACAGAGTGCCTGCAGTGTGCTCTGCCTCCTTAGAAGTATGTGTGGCCACTTTCCTATATTAACCTACTTTAGAAATTTTAGAGGGAGGTTTCAATTCACTTTGGTAACTATGAGTTTAGTCTCTTTGTAATTTTTTTTTTTTTTAACACAGGCATTATGCTACAGATGGAGATAGGAAAAGACATAAGATATGTTCCTTGCCCTTTAGGCAAACTGCGGAGAGAAGTGAGGAAAGGAAGTTTCATTTGTGAACTGCTTATGATTTGCCAGGCCCTGTGTAGGCACTGTGTGCTTTATCTCTTTTAAGCCTCACTGTAACGCTAAGAAGGAGGTAGTTGTCCTTTTCTTCACAGATGAAGAAACTACACCATTCACAAAGCTGGAAGAGGAAGAGCTAAGGTTCAAACCCAGGTCTTTCTAATACCAAAGTCCGTGCTGCTTCTGCCATACCACTTAGAGCATGCTGAAAGATAAAATATATAGACATATGCACATAAATTGTCACATAACCAAAAAGAAGGCAAACTATCAAATTTATATTACGAGTAATAAGAGCCATGAATGTCCAAAGAGAGGAGAAATTGCTGAGATGGTTGGAAGAGCATTTACACAGGACTAGGGACTGAACTGGGCCTTGAAGTACAGGTGTCAAGGCGAAGTGAAGGAGAAAGGTACAGTAGTTGTCAGAGGCTAGTGCAGGGGTGGAGTTAGAAGTAGAGGGTATTGGAAGTTAGAGGACACAAAGACAGGGAAATAATATGTTAAATATCTTAGCGTTGTCCTGAGAAACCAAATCTACTGATTTCGTTTGTAATAAGAATTCATAGGAATTAAAATTAGCAAATTTCAGGGACCTTGAATGCTAAACTAAGGGATTTGGATTCACTTCTACAGATGAAGAGTCCTCCCTAAGGGGACCAATGATAAAACTACTAGTTTAGGCTTCATCTTGGGGTGGAGGAGGTGAAGGAAGGCACAATGGACAACTAGCTCAGGAGGAGAAAGATCAGTTGGGAGGCTCTGTCCGTAGTCTGAGCATTAGAAAGTAGGATTTGAGTCCTGTGAGGGTAAAGAGAAGGCATTTTGAGATGGGAGAAATGAAGAATCTTCATTCACTAAGTTTTCAAAAGTCTCACATCCAGAGACATGCACTGGGCAGCTCACCAAATCAGTTTAAGCAAAACAGCTAAGTTTTAGAGTTCTGGAGCCCTGGGACAGTATTTGAATTGAAGTAAAAACTATGCTGGAAAATCTTCAGAATCTGGGACTCAGCTCTCACACCATTCTTCTCACCTGGCAAATCTAAAGCTTTGTGTCACACTTTACCTATCTAGGAAGGTGTGGCAATATATGAAGTCCTTTGAGGTCTGGTCTCAGGTACCCCCCTTTTAAGTTACTGTTCAAATGGCTGAAATGTGTTTTAGAGTTTGGTTTAGTCTTTTCAATTTTTTTTTTTAATTTCCAAAATGGACTATCTTTTAAAAAGTATTCTCTTTTGAAAGAAGCAGAAATTTCTCTCTAGTTTTGTTTTGGTGTTTTGTTTTGTTTTTCAGAATATTTCAGGGGTACAAACACTTTGGTCACATATATTACCTTTGCACCGCCTGAGTCAGAGCTACAAGTATGCCCATCTCCCAGCTAGTTTGTTTTATCATGACTTTTTCAAGAATGTTTTTAAGTATTTTTGGACAAAAACACTTTATGCCCTGTCCTAATATTTCATACATAGAAACATGTAAACGTGAACTTTTTTTTTTTTTTAAGAGACAAAGAGACAGAGTCTTACCGTGTCACCCAAGCTGGAGTACAATGCTGTCAGAGCTCATTTCAACTTTGAACACTTGGGCTCAAGCGATCCTCCTGCCTCAGTCTCCCAAGTAGCTGGGACTACAGGCACACACCACCATGCCCAGCTAATTTTTAAGACATTTTTTGTAGAGATGAGGTGTCACTGTGTTGCCCAGGCCGGTCATGATCTCCTGACGTCAGGCAATCCTCCTGCCCTGCCTTGGCCTCACAAAGTGCTAGGATTACAGGTGTGAGCCACTGCACCTGGCCTGAAATTTTATATGTCGATTTTATTTTTTAATAAATCAGTCCCTCAAAAGTATTATTGTTTGTGCTCACAGTATGTTTCAGTAGTGCAATCTTCTTTCTGTTGTAGCCTGCCACGGAATCTCTATTCGCTCCAGTGTTTTTATGTTTACCAAACTGAAGCTGAGGAGTGAGTTGGATAGAAATACAGAGACAGATGTATGGAGAAGAGAAGAAAAAGACGAGGAGAGGAGGACTGGAGTGCTAGGGGGCTGGCTGTACTCCGGAGCTGTGATGGGGAGGAAGCAAGACAGAGGAGAGAACAGGAAGAGAACACAGAGAATATCGAAGTGGGAAGAGGGCTGGTAGGGGGATTGTTGACCTAGAGAGAGAGAGGAAGGCTCAGTGAAGCTCTGGAAGGAAAAGAGTCAGAATGAGAAATTAAGAGCACAGCGAGGGGGGGAGGGCACAGAAGCAGCTGGAGAATAGACTCAGAGCATTGGTGAGTTTTAGATACACGAGAAAGAGCCTAAAGAAGACAGTAACAAATGGGAGCATTATGGGGGGTGGGGAAGAAGCAAAATTTGGGAAACTAGGGAAAGAGGAGGGTGAGAACAGTGCTGATCTTTAACGATTTAATTCATCAGGCACTTAAAAAGTTCAACTCAGGGCTTGTCTGCCTTCTCTGAGAGAGGGAGTAAAGTAGAGATGTAAATGGATTAAGAGAATAAGAGACCAGGGGCTGGGCTGATGTAGAAATTTGATGGTCGGGACATTGGACATTTGTCATTTGGCTAATGAGGGCTGATGGAAAAAAACTTTTATTCAATTAGGACAGAAAAGTTTTCAGAAAAGCTGAGTGTAATTAGCATGAATTAGTGATAAATAACCAAAAAATTATATCACTAATCTAAAATACTTTATGAACCTATTAAACATAAGGCACAAGTTTGCCAGAAGTTGGAGACACTTAGTTCGATATACTTAGATGCCTTAAAAGGCATCTCCATTCCTGGTCTGGAACATTCACAATGTGGTATTGGCCTTAATCAGTTCTACAAACAACTTTTTAATAAGTCTGATTGGTAAAGACTAACTTCTGGCTTTGTTTTTCCAAGAGAATATGCTAGAACTATGCAACTTTAGACATTTTTAAGGAATAAATATATTATTACTGAAAGTAGTTTTTACAAAAGGGAAAATTCACACTGTTCTCAGCTAGTAGATTTACTGTTATTTTTAGCTCATGTGTTTAAATGGATTGTCTATCAGGAAAAAACGTCAAATATAAAATTGTTCTACCAATACTTTGCTGTAATTCTAAAGCCAACATGTGAAGGAGCTATGTAATAATATATTTAGATATTACACAAATCTTTTGGACATTAACCTTAGATGCTTATGTCCTATTACTGAGTTGTGGTGGTTTTATTTTGCTAATACTGGGTTAAAGCCTTTAATTTTTCAGTGACATCGTAAAGATTTTTTTATCCTACTAAAATCATCCATAGAATGGTTTTAAACCAGTTTTCCAAGTAGTATGTATTTTTTAAAACCCACCACTGGATACCCAGACACCTGAAACTGGGCTTTTCCCAATCTTGGCAATATTAGCAATGACACTTTCAGTATTGATGGCAACCCTGTAGGAGGCGTGACCATTCCAATTTTGATTTTATTTTTAAAGTGTGAACTTTCCAGAACCCTGAGCAAAATGAGTGCAGCGATTTTCTTTTTGTAGGACAAGAAGACAGAAGAGTTCTTCTCTGTGGTGACTACAGACTAGAGGAATGCTCTAGTGAGTTTCCACTTCAAGTAGTACCCACTCATAAGCCGGGGGGGCAGACCCTTCTGTCTAAACACATCTTTTATTTGTGTTCCAGCAGGTGCAACAGGTTCAGGTGTTTGCTGACGTCCAGTGTACAGTGAATCTGGTAGGCGGGGACCCTTACCTGAACCAGCCTGGTCCACTGGGAACTCAAAAACCCACATCAGGACCACAGACCCCCCAGGCCCAGCAGAAGAGCCTCCTTCAGCAGCTACTGACTGAATAACCACTTTTAAAGGAATGTGAAATTTAAATAATAGACATACAGAGATATACAAATATATTATATATTTTTCTGAGATTTTTGATATCTCAATCTGCAGCCATTCTTCAGGTCGTAGCATTTGGAGCAAAAAAAAAAAAAGGAGTTCACTTTTGTTGGGAGATTGAAAGATGTTTTTGTTTCTTTCTTTGTAAAGGCCTTGGATATTGAAAAAATTACAAGGCAGAACAGTTGGACAATCTATTTCTTGAGCCAAATTTAATTATTCTTATTTTTATAATCAGTCATTGGCTTCTTATCTGGATGAAGGCTTCTGGAGGAGAACCAAAACGACAAGTTCCAAGAGGAAGATGAAGCTCCGCCTCTGCCGCTCAGTCCCGACCCTGCCCAGGAAGAAGGGCGCACGGGGCTTTGCCTGTGCCCGTCCACCAAAGGCCGTCACATTTCTCTAAACCAACAGCCCTCCCCTAGCCCGACCCCAGGCAACTTGTGTGTACAATCAGCTTCTTCTAGCAACTCTGTATCTGTTGGCTTCAAGAGAATATTTTGCCTCCACATTCGTACCCCTTCTCCTTTTTTTAAAGATGGATTTAAACCAAGATGCCTCCAGGAAAGAGGATGAAATGAGTATATTCACAGAGGAATCCAAAAAATACAGTTTGGGGGAAAATGCAATAATTTTTGATGAGATGGGTGAAGGACAAGAAGTGAGTTCTGTCAATTATTGTAGATATAATTTTCTGATTAAATCTGGAAAAAAAAGGGCAGCCTGTTCTTTCTGCTTTTATTGTATTAACAGCTGAGGTAGCTAAAGTTATTTAAAATAAAATTAAATTTATGATCCAAGTAGCTTATTTTTCCCTTTAAATCTCTCTGTAAATATATTTGATTTCTTGTAGAAATTGATTTCCTTCTGTTTAATTTTATGCTTTTATTATACTCTTGATTTTTCTAAATTTGTGTGTGAAATATAACACTGAATTGCAGTTACATATGGCTAGTATTATTTTGTTATTTTAATAACTGTGATGCCAAGTATGGATTTATTTTGGGTTCAAATCAAAATGCCACTGCCAGAAAGAGCTGTTCCAGCTGAGCTAGGGCATACTGCCCTAGAGTGTCCCTGGGATCATCTAATCAGAAGTGCACAGGCTACTTGTACAGAGAAAAATTAGTACTCAAAATCTTCGTTTTTTTAGATTGACTTTGGGAATTTGAATTTTCATCAGTGCAAATACAAATTTCTCCACCCTGCTCTGAGGCTAATTGGTACCGTATTTTCCCTTTGTGTCTTGTCACTCTGCCACATCCCATCTCATCCTGGCCTCTGAGTCACGGACCCAGTGAACTGACTTTCTAGTTCTAGAAGTTCCACTGCAAGGCCAGGAAAGCTTGAGAAAGGTATTGTGGAAGAAGCAAAGGTAGACCCCCATCACTCACCTTCGTCTGTATCCCTGGGCCTGTGAAGGATGACAACGTCTGACGTTCTGCACCAGCTACCTCTGCTTCCACGGCAGAGAAAAGGCCATACAAACTATCAGTGGAAGAAGAGCATGGACTCAGACTTCAAGGAAGAAGCCATTTTCCCAGGTCCTTCCTTCTGCATCTTACCACCCCCTAGTTAACAGATAACTCCATTGAACAGCATCTGTTCAGAAACTATACTGAATAAAAAAGATTGGTGGAAGGGCTCGTGTGGGTAGCAACTATGAAACAGAAATAGGACACTCAGTTATAAACATTATCTCCTTTAGTTTTTCAGAAAATGCACCCTTGATTTCATTCATTTCCAGCTTGAAAGCCCAGCCATATTACTCTAGTCCCTACCAAACTGCTCTAGAAGGTCATTTCCATTTTGTTTGTGATATTTAGATGTGTATACTTCAGGAAGTTCACCTTTAACTTCAGCATTCCAGATGAAGTTTTCTGACTCAGTGCTTTTGCATAAGGAACTAGAAAAAAAAAAGTGGTAAGGAAAATTGGAGATGCTAACATCCTCCCCCATCCCAACTGCACCTTAAAATATGCATGTCACCTTCAAGGTTTTATAATTGCACTGTTTGTTTTATGTATGTACAGATTAAAATTATTGCTACATTTGAGAAAAATAAAATTGCTTGCTTCTATGTAATTCCTGTCATTCCACAGGAAATTTACTTTTCCAGCTACTGAATAGAATTTGTTTAACAACCTCACGGGTTGCCTCTTCATTTACAGGGAAAAAAATGAAACCTACATTCTGCAGAAATTGCCAGAGCCCCAAAATGACTAACAAGTAATTAAAGGATAATAAAAGAAAGGATCCCTGAAGCCAAAGATCCTTGAAGTCACCCTAATATGAGCCAGCCTGTTGAAATTCGAGAAGGTCAAAGCAAAATCATGATAGTGGGCCTTGAGGAAATTCTAGCTTTGGCTGTGTATCTGATGATTAAACACTCTTGCCCTGCTGTTTCTTGTCCCTGGAGATCTGGTCCAGGCGGCACTCTACAAGATACCTTATCTCTCTTGATTATTGGGTTTTTTTAATATACCAACATTTATCGTTATAGATGTTGAATCTTACTTGAGGAGGCTCCCTCAATGTGACAATGCATTTTATAGAAATTAGGCCCTGTTTCTTGTTTGTGTGTTTCTACGGCAGCCTAAATCCAGCAACACCTAGCTAAGTAGAGCCGGGATAAGCCGGGTAAGCAAGTGTCATTCCAGAGGGCAGGGGAGGGTGTATTTCCCTGCACACATTCCTACATGTAAATATGCATAGATTTGGTAGCTATTGTCAGGAATCATTTATGGGGGAACAAAACCTTTTTTTCACAGTTGGGATAAGGTAAAAATGGTGCTGCTTTTAGATGAGGCTGAACATTGATTTAAAGTGACCCTGAGGTAATGGGATTAAATGGTACACAGGAAAAAACCAATAGAAACTATTAGGAAAAAGTGAGGTTGGCATAAAGAAACTTCACCTCCTTTGTGGTTTTTTCTAAGCAAGGTTCCATTCCTAAAGAAGATCTTAGAAATGGTTTCCTAGGCCTTGACAAAGAAAAACAAAGGATAGTTGTCTGGTTACAAAGGCCGTTGTGCCGCTTTCCTTGTCGACATTAACTGCTCTCCCCAGAAGAGCGGATCCACCTGAGTGAGGTGAATAGTTGAGAACAGGCCGGATCCGTGACCATTCCTGCACCTCTGAAGATCTTGATGATTTAATTAAGCCCATAAATTCTTTTTATTGGAGAAAACTGCCAAAAGAAGCAGTCCTCCCTCCAGAACCTTTTCTGCCAGCGCTAAATTAGTTTTCTTTATGTATTTTCATGGCCCCTAGAACTCTTAACAGGATTGAAAAAATTAAAAGCACTGGCCTCATTCACTCATTTGACACATTTTATTGTCTTAATCCAGGGCACTCGGAATAGGAAAGGATCCCACAGATCCACAGCGCCTGCCCTCGTGGAGCTTGTATTCTCATGGGGGGACTCGGAGTGATGCAGTCACAACTGGATTAACTGGTACACAGGAGGGTTTAACACTGCTTTGTAAGGTCTCGTCTGGGGGGTCAAGGCAGGCTCAGCTGAGGAAGAAATGGCATTTGAGGTGAGCTGTGCAGGGTGGTGAGAGAGCTCAGTGAAGAGCAGAGTGAGGAGAGTTCTGAGGAACAGCACGTGGGCGGGCCTGGAGACAGGAAGGTGCCCCAGAGAGCTGGTTTTTTAAATTGTTAACCAGTGTTCCCGAGCTCTCATAAACACGTTATTAGAATTATGTCAGCTGGCGGGCTGCAAAGTGATTTAAATCAGCCTTTGGCTCCAGGAGGAACATAATGCTAGGCTTCGGAATCCTCATTTGGAAATTGTTCCAGCTGATAGCTAAGGTCTGTTCCATAACTAGCCCTATCTGGCCAGAAGTACAGGCCTCTGTATCTTCTACACAGTGATCTATAGCTGGTGACAGTATTATTAATAAAAACATACAAGAAAATAAATTGGTGCTGTAACAATATCTAAGGTGCTGTTAGGTATATAATCTCATTTAGTCCTCTGTAGTCCTTGGGAGAGTTGTTGTGAAGAAAAAAACAAGCCCTAAAAGGTTATAGCACAAACACTACTATTTATCAATGGAATTAGGAGTTGAAACCAAGTCTTGTGATTGTAAATTCTGGGTTCACTATCCTGGACTATATGATTTAGGATGGATTCTGAGTCTGCAGACTTTAATCTCGTTGTGTGATTTTAGGCAATGCTTTCTTATGTGAAGTAACTTCTAAAAACAGGCTTTGAAAAGACGGGCAAGAACTCGAGGATTGAGAAGAGAGGACCAGGCCTCCTCTGGAGGCAGAGCCTGCGCAACTAGCCAGGGGTTGTCTTTGGCATGTGGTCAGGAGGGTGTCCCACTGCAATTTGGGAGAAGCATTCTGTCCTGCATATCTAAACAAGGAATAAATGAGGAGCTCCATGGAACCACAGCTTAGCTTTAAAAATTTTTTAAACATCCCCTTAGCTTAAAAGAATTTTGGAAAATATGGATTCTTCCTGGGGCAGGTAAAAGAATGGCTAACAGAGGATCCTTTATTTGAGACAGAGGAATGGTAGGGCTCTGCAATTCCTCCGAGGATACTAGGTTTTTTGAACCAGACCTTGGAAGCACTCAGTTTCTTCCCTGGCTATTGATCTTTCTGCAGACAAAGAATCTTTCTCCTGTGCAATGGAGTTTAGCTCTGGTCTAATCATTTGTGCTTATCTCAGAACTTTGGTAGTTTGTACAACCAACAGAAGCAAGCAGTGCCCACAGGTATCCATAGCAAACCTGAGACATTGGCTTGAGGAAAGAATTAAAATGTTAAAAGGAATAACTTCTATTTCATCGAATTGTCCTCCCGTGTTTGTGCCCATGGGTCCTAAGGTAAAGCAAAAACCCTAGGCCACGGTTATGGTGCTTGTTGCATTTTTGATGAGCTGCCGCAGTACAAACACCGTGATAGGCGGTGTGGAAAGAAAGTACAGAGATACTTGGCTGAAGCTGCTGCTTTGCTGACAATGGAGATTCTACATCAGTTAAGAGAGATTTTTTTATTTCTGCTCTGCCAGGCAAGGTACTAGGCTAATAACCCACTCTTATGCTAATAATTTCTCATGTTTGTACAGCACTTTTACATACATTTGATTTGCAAAATCGTGTAAAGCAATTACAGGCCTTTACAGATGGTGAAACTGAAGCTCAGGTTTATGATCAGGTGGCCAAGAAGTGCTGGACCCAAGAGTCAATCCTTGGGATGAAACCTGCCATTGTTTCCACTGCACAATCCAAATATTAGAGATAAAAGCACCATTGGACAATGACACAAAGACTGTGGGAATCCTGATGAGTTAAAAATTACTCTCTGGAACTCAAGTTCCTTAGAAGCTTGTAGTGGTTTCCATTTTGAAAATAAAGCTGAGCACTAATTTTGGCTTTGTTGAAGTATAAATGTCTTAAGTTTGTGTGAGGGTTTCTCACACAGGCCACTGTATTATCCCTGAACAGTTTCATCTTTTCTCTTGAACTCGGTACCACCTACATGTCTGTGCATCTTAAATCCACTCTTCTAGCCAGGATCTCTCTCAAGATCCAGTCCTAAATTTCCAACTGGTGAACCTTACCACGTGGATCCCACCCTTCCACTGCCAGCACCTCAAGCTTAAGTCCCAAACCAAATAACTTATTCCCCACAAATATGTTTCTGTGTCTCTTATCTGAATTGGTCACATCATCATTCTGTGAGTGGTCATTTTCAACAACTTCCTCCCACTCATCTCACCAAACTGCAAGAAGATAGCCTGTGTAGAGCCTCGTGGCCACTTTCTTCCTGGCCCTGCGAGTCTCTGACCCAATTCAGAACTCAATTATCTTTCTTTGGATGATTACGATAACCATATTCTTGCCTCTTACATTCATCCTTCACACGAACATCAGAGAAATCTTTCTAAACGCAGCCTTCAGCATCTAGTATTAGTGACTGGTTTTCGCCCAGAGCCCTCTCTGGTCCCCACATTTCAATGAGCTTTTCCTTTACACTTACTGTGTTGCTGCGGCGTTTGGGCCTCCATTGGCGCACAGTTATATGCACATCTCTTTTCTCCACTAATTTGTGAGCCCCTTAAAGAAAAGGTGCACATCCTACTTCTCCCCCCTGAAAGCCTTCTACATAATAGGATCTTAAATTCTGATTGAAGCTGATATTTTAAGTAAGGGAAAGTTGCTGATGGACAGACCAGGCAATGAGTTGTCTCCCGGGAGTCTGGATCATTGAGCTAATGGAGGTTGCAGTCGTTTCTAAGAGTTCAAGACAAGGTCATGATTTTATCTTGACAGTTGTTCCCTTTTTTCATGAAATGTGAGTGAATGCAGGGCCTTTTCATGAGAAGTTTTTGAAAATCTCACACTCTAGTGGCCTCCACATATTTCGAGATCTTGCAGAACATTAGCAGTTATCTTGAATATTCATAAAGCTCTCAGCTTTTATTTATAGATATATGCTTCTGTTAAACCCTTTACACTTCTCAGATATTACCTCCTCACTGAAAATCAGCTGATTGGGTTGACAGTCATCTTAATTGAGAAAAGAGAAAAGGTAGATCAGGAGAGACAATCACTTCCAGTCTTCCCTTTCAAAATGTATATGTAGCTACTCTCTTCTTTACCTATAATGTAATGCTGCTGGGAAGTGATTCATGTTGGAATTAAACAAGAATAAGACAGCTCCTCATGAAATTTCTATTGGGCCTTTAAAACCAGTGCCTCTAAAATCTGAATGACTTAGAAAGTGAACAGATGGAACAGGTCAACGAACAGAGAGACCTTCCTCTCTCTAACAGGAGCAAGAGTCCTACCTGGGGTTTCTTATAACTGAAGAAGCAGCCCAGTCCTGCTTTTTTTTCAAGTCTAAAATAATTTATCATACACCTGCCTGAACTAAATTTTACGCTGCATATTTCCTGTTCATTTTCCTTTTTAACTTGCAAACTTTTATAAAAATAAGCATTAATTTTTTAAATTAACTTTCCATTTTAACATTCTTCTAATGTTAGCGATTATATTTTAAATGATAATTACTTAGCAAGCTAGACTTTAAAGTTCAACCAAAACTAACTTGGAAAAAGGCTCCCTATAGAATATACTCTATTTAAAGGCTCATGCACTTCCAAGCTTAGGCTTTAAATTTT